TCTCGTATATAACACTTATATACAATGTTTAAGATTACATAAATAATCATGAAATTTTCATTGATATTCATAAAATATTCATAAATATATGCACATAAAATAATGAATAAACTCTTTTATTAAATAAATAATAATTATCCTATTACATCTCATGCTTCTAGGACATCATTCCCAACAAAAGAGATTTTTAGGCAGTGGATGGCAACAATATGGTTCATAGGAAGAGAGAGAGATCGGCAAAGGGTTTTGAGTTTGGTTTCTCTTGAAATGAAAACAGATTCGAGGCTAAATTTTATTTTTAGGTTTCCGCGCCCACATTAAAGGATAGTTTTATGTAAAACCATCATTTAGACGGTTAATATCAAATATTAGACGACCGTTTTACGAAAACTGTTGTCTAATATTTTGCCAGCTGGCCCGCGCTTTAAGCAGCACATTAGACGACGGTTTCTTATTAAACCGTCATCTAATTAGAGACGTTTAATGTCAATTTTTTTATAGTGACTATTGCCTCTTATTATAAACTTTTCTTTCTTAGAAAAATATATTTTAAAATAAAATATATGCATGTAAGATCGTGAAGAACTCTCTCACTGAAAATACTAAGTAAGACATATATCAAAAAACGAAAAAACATAATTGTGATTTTCAACTAAGGAATTGATTTGAATTTCTTATGACGTTTTTAAGAATAAAAAAATATTGTTCATTAACTTGAGATGAGTTTAAAAACTTGAGTTGAAAAGGAAATTTGAACTCAGATTTTAGCCTCAAACTCAAGTTAAAACTCGAGTTAAAACTCAAATTCAAACTCAAATTTTTCAAACGAACATGAACTTGAATAAAATTGTAACTTAAATTCAAACTTTTTTTTAGTTTTACTTCAAAAGAGCAAACCCTTGTTATGTTTCGCCTAAATATTATTTTTGTCTTTTCATTATCTAAATGCTCAAAACACTCCTATAGGCTCATAATATTAGACTCAAAATACCTCTTAAAGCAATTAAATTTTTTAAAGTACCAAGATTATTCTTACTAACTTTTATTAAAAGCAATTTAAAACATTATTAAACTAAAATATTAAATAAAACATTTTTAGAAATTGAAAAACCCTCAAAATAGTTGAAGTACTTGTTTGATTAGAATATTTATTTCAATATTTTCAGAATTTTTTTTATTGAAAGTTTTAGTTAAATCATCTCTAAACTAACATTTAATATAGATTGTGAAAGGTGATCTTAATAATTTTTTTTTAAAATTAATTACTTTAAAGGGTATTTTGAGTATGATTTATAAACACGTAGGGTGTTTTGATTACTTATATAATAATAAGGAAAAGTGATATTTAGACAAAATACAACAGTTATTTTGGTATTTTTCGCTTCATTTTTTTTATCTTATAGTTATGAAACTAGAAACTGTAACTTGTAATACAGGTTTATCTGCATACTAATTAAGTGAAACCGCTTGTATTATCTATCATCCGATGCACAAACATTTTATGTCCACATCATATGTCATTTCTATCTTATTCAAATTTTCAATCATGTATATAGAAAAGGATAATAGGATGTCTTAGCTTTTTCGATGTTAATTACCAAAAAGTCCCTCGCGTTTAATTACCAATAATAAGTACAAACTAATATATCTTGATTGAAAAATTGCCTCTAATTTGCTTTTAATTTGCTTTCATTGCCTGATTTATATATGTGCTTGCTATAATAATAATAACAATAATAATAGTAATAATAAAATTAACAATAGTAACAAGAGTAATAAACAACAGAGACTGGAGCTGAAACAAATGAGAAAACATTAATTTGATATATTTGAAAAAAAATGTACAAATTATGAATTTAGTACGTATTTTTTCTCTTCAAATGAATATAAAAGGATATAAAAGGAGTTTTGCTTACTGCAGTATAAAAGATATCAAGACATCACACATGGTGGTAATTTTTTATTATTTTAAAAAATAATAAAATCTGTTTTGTTGCATGTTTAATTTAATAGTAAATCTACACGCATCACAAATTAAAAAAGAAATAACGACTTTCGTTTTATTTCACGTTCAAATAAATATTCTTAAAATTAAGATAAGAAGTTCTTATATAGCATAAACGCGTGTTACAAGCTAAGATGTATGAAATAAGTAAGAAAAGGCAGTTAATTATGTATTCTTATGGTAAAACATTTATAATCTTAGCGAGCGACCGTATTTAAGTTGTCTTATTATGATAATTAATTTGTATTTTTTTGCTAATTAGGCGGCGATGTTAGACTTATACGACTACCATGCAAGACTTATACACTTTTTATACTATCACCGGACAACATCACCCCTCTATTATAAATTAATCATTGAGAAAATAGGTGCCACTCCTATTTAAGCATATTCTTCTTGAGCATTATCGAAGGGATTCCTCAAATATTGATAGAAAATGTTAATGACCCTACTCTTGATGAGAAAAGCGTTATCTCAATCGCACAGAATGCACCATCGATAATAAATATATAAAAACCTTTTGGTTTTCTTGTAATATCACCACATTATCACCCTCTTTTGCTATTAAATAAAAAGCTCTCAAAAAAAAAAAAAAAAAACTAATGAGAAAATGGAGCCCACTACTTTTAGAGGTCGGGAGGAAAAAGTCTAGTCTAAACCTTAAGATAGTGTTTGGTTAGAGGGTTCTAAAATGAGAATTATGATTCTAATTTAAATCTTTGTTTGTTTGTAAAAAGTAAAAAATAGTTCTAATTTACGGTTTAAATTTTAATGTGATATTTTAAACTAAAATTATCATGGTTTTAAAACTACCTCTCCTTAGTTTGAACTTGTGATTCTGGTTCTGCTTCCAGAATCATAATTAGACCAAAAACCATGAATCATAATTTTAGTTTTAAAATTAAAACTAAAATCACTCTAATTTGAACCATTATACCAAACAGAGTTAACCTTTTATAACATATCACCCTCTTGTACTATATAGTAATCTTCTCCTAGATATAATTAATGACAAATTGTTCTAAATTTGTAACTGAACTTGTCAAATTAAACTTTTTGGTTCAAAACATTTATAGTATGTTTATTTTTACAACTTAAGTCATGATTTGAGTTGTGTATATAAGAAAAAAATGTTATAATAAAAAGGTTAAATTTAAATTTTTGTGAAAAAAAATATTATAATAATATGACTTAAGTTATAAAATGAACAAGTTCTTAAACATGTTTTTCAAATGAACTCTATGAAATAAGTCCAAATCAAGATTTTGGGAAGGGCAAAAATTTTCATAAAATTGTTGGTTCAAAGCTTGAAATGAATAATTATATTATAGTAATAAGAATTTAGTGAGAAAGTGGGGCCCAATCCTATCCAAGTTGGAGGTGGTGAAAGTCCTTGTAGGCAACGACATGATTTTTCAAAAGAGAAAAAAGACAGAGACTTCCCTGGCATGAATGAAAGCCCACCTTTGGCTTTAGCTACTGATTTGGCTAAACGGGCAAATGCATGAATCATGGCCGGTGACCGACTTTTTCTCCCTTTTCCGTTTGCCCTAATTCTCATCTCTCCTCTCTCTCTCTCTCTCTTAATTTTTTCACTGCAAGAGTTTCTCTGATATGATTATTTTTTTATTTTTACTGAAAGAGTTAATTTTTAATTATTAAATTTAATTAAAATCACATTAATTAAAAAAAATACATATAACACAACTTAAGTCTCTTCATTTCACCGATTTGAGTTTTCAATTTTAGATTTTTACAGTAAAAAGTTCTCAGAAAATATCACATTTAACTTTTTCTATTATAACAAAAAATTTAAAAAAAATGTTATATCTCAACTCGAATTAAAAACTCAAATTTACAAAGTGAACGAAGCCTTATTAATTTATGATGCAGATTTCACATTTAAATTAACTTTTTCTATTATAACAAAAAATTTTAAAAAAATGTTATATCTCAACTCGAATTAAAAACTCAAATTCACAAAGTGAACGAAGCCTTATTAATTTATGATGCAGATTTCACATTTAAAATCAAGATCTTTTCAATAATTATTTGTTGGGGCCCGAACAAGAAACTCTTTCTTTCTCTCTCTATTTTTTTTTTTTCAAAATTCTAATCCTCACAAAGCGGAAGTCAGCTATCGCCGTTGCCAACTATAAAGGAAGTTTTCCTCGGATCATCACTTTTTTAAAAAAAAAAATTTTTTTTTTCTTCTTTCTTTTTCAAAAAAATAAAAAAAATGGAAAAAATCCAAAACTGTACAAAAATATCCAACAAAGATACAGAAACGCCTCGGTAAGAAAAACAGAATCTGAAAATTTACAGACAAACAACAACAAATTATACCTGTCGAGAGGTTTTATTTATTAAAAGTTATTGTATTTTCTTCTCCTACTTTTTTTTTCTCTACCCTTTTTGCTACTTATTAATATCCTTCATTGCATTCTTAAAGCTTTCTTTACCCTTTTTTTATTAACCTTAAAACCAAACCCACTTTTTCCTGCTTTTTTCACCACTTATTATTAAACAAATTATTAGAGTATTAATTTTGTAGAAAGAAAGAATTAAACCACATAATAGAATATTCCCTTCATTCATCTCTTACATCAATTTCATGAAATACACAACAAATGTATATATACTAATTATAAGTATTATAAATAAATAATTATAATGTCCCTCATAAAAATCTAAATTCCTCAAAAAAAAAATCTAAAAAAAGAGAAAAAATATAAATAATTTATTTATTTTTTTGGTTAATGAAAGGAGATTTTACAGTTCATGTGAATGATCTTTTCTGTTGCATGTTAGTGATAAGCACGCCTGGCAACTCATCATTCCCTCCAACCCCCTTCCCTTCGTTCTTCTCCTATTTTCTCTCTCCACTTTTTCTCTCTCTAACCCTTCTTTTCTCTCTCTCCCTCTCTCTAAAAAATTCTCATTTCATTTCCCTTTCTTCTTCAACCCCAACTTTACTCTGTTTCTCTTCAGCTTTTCTCCTCTCTCTTTCACTTTCTTTCTGCTCCGTGAAAAGATCGATTTTTTATTTTTCTCGGCGAATATTTCCGTTGGATTGGATCTGATTCTGGTTTTGTTTCGTTTCTGAATCGGATTTTTTCTCCCTCGCCAGCTTATACTTCAGGTAAGATTATACTTTTTCTCGGAAAATTTTTTCATTTTCTTTCTCTGTTGTAGTTGTGAATAGTTTTTCGTTTTGCCGAGTCCAATGTAATACAATTTTTTCTTTATGGATTTTCATAGATATTAGCGAAATTTCGATTCTTTCGCATATTTTTTGTTCTTTTAGTTTTTCAAGATTATGTAGATTTGATCTGATTGATCGGATTGTTATATTATAATCATAATTTTATTGATCCGACGACACAAATGATTATGATGTTCTTTTGCTCTGATTCAGCTGAGATTGTGTTTTTCTTTTTTCTTTTTTTTCGTTTTTTGGATGTGAATTTTTATGCGAAAGTTTGCGCTTTTCTCGTATCTTGTAAGAGAATGGTGTTGGATTTTTCGAAATATTGGAATTCGCAATCACTCCAAGATGTCATTAGAATGCTGGGGTTTCCAATTCCAAGATCATTTCTTGGAAACCCATTTGATTCACGTGTGTCTTTTCTTCTAGTTCCGGAAGATTATTATATCTTTGTCTGTCCTTTTCCAAATCTTCATTCTTCAACTTTGATCTGTTTGGCTTCGGTTTTCCAATTTGATACAGTGGCTGTTTTAACACTTAACATTGCTTCGAATTTTTTTCGGAGAATTTACTTGCATTGAGTTTTTATGTCTATAATTCTGGTGTCTTAAGGCAAAGGCTATTCTAATTGGTTTACTGATAGAAGGAAGTAATACCCATTTCGTTTACGTTAGAAATTCTTAAAAAAATTTGCTTTGCATTGAGTTTTCTTTTCCATATTTGCTTGGTAGTAGCTCATATACCCTTCTGATGAATCTTCTGCTTGTTTGCCTTAATTGTAATGATCACTTTATCTTTTATTTTATTTTCTTCCCTTTTTTGCTTGTTGTTTTCTTCTATTTTTGTTTTTACGTAATAGTAGCTATTCACTGTCATCTGCGTTATCGGGCTTTTATGACCGGAATTGGCTAAGATATTGTGGGAAGTGTCGTTGGTATATTTTTGGGATTTTATCTGTCACTGTAACTGTAATGTTAAGCTGGCCCAACTCATTTCTGTATCAAAGTATATAAAGGTGATTACGAAGTTTTCAGTTCGTGAAATTCCATTGGGAGTTATCTTTTGTTGATTGCATTTTATGGTTCGTTAAGATTTCTTGAGATTTTAAACTTTATGAATAACTAGAGGTCACTAACATGGCAAACATTTAATGGGTATTCTATCTCTGTGGGAGAGAATTAGTTTCTGATTTCTAAGCATCAGGATATACGAAATGAACTAAGCTGCATTATTAACAAGGTGTTTTTTTTTTTTTTTTAATACTAAAAATCAAAGCTTATGAACCAGCAATATATAATTTCTTTTTGCTTTTTATGGTCAATATGAAGTTCGTGTCAACAAATATGTTCAATTCTTAAATGAATTGTTGTTTTCCCCCTTCATCTAAGTTTTATTTGAATCACTGCTGCTTCAACTGTCACAATGTGTGGACTTTTTACTGATAGGTTTCAGTGGTTTTGTTTCAGGATACGTATTTGCCTCTCCTGAGCCAAAGTTTTGGGTAGCTAAATTATAAATCTAGAAAAGACGGCATGGCTGTTTCCATGAGAGATTTAGATTCAGCTTTCCAAGGAGCTGGACAAAAGTCGTATCCTTCCTGTAATCAAGTGCTTAGCATCTTGCAATGCTATATTTTAACACTTGTAGATTCAAAGTTAGTGTAAAAAATTAAAGGTTAAAAATAAAAATTATTATTTTTGTTGTGCTACTTGTGGCTTTTGGTTCTCTTGCGGTTTCATTTTCATTTTAGGTTCGTATGTGTGGAATATCTTCGTTTGGAAGGTTGCTTTATTCCTTGACAATGTTTAGTGGACTTGAAATCTGGCGTATTGAAAACCTTCGGCCTGTTCCTATCCCAAATTCTTCCCATGGCAAGTTTTATACAGGCGACTCCTATGTGATCTTGAAAGTGAGTGACTTGATTCTTATTTAGCATGTTCTGATTTATTAGTAGACTTTGTTTTTCCATTAATCAATTTTAGGGCTGTGAAGATTTGTGAAAATGTAACTATTTGTTAATCAATTCAATTGTGTTTTTTTTTTTTCCTTCTTTTGTTTGTCCCTCATATTTGAAGGAAACCCATTTCATGCATTTTCTATTTGAGATGTCAGACCAGCCGTAGTTTCTGAAGCTGCTTTTCATTCAACGGGGTTTCACATAATTTCACATTTTATCAGCAGTTTCATATCTATGTCTCTCTAATGGAGTATGTACTAATTAGCTTGTCTCGAGTCTTATATGTTGGAAATAAACTTATTAAAATATGCAAATCTTTACTTGCAAAAAAAAAAAAAAAAAAAAAAAATCAAAATCTTTGATGTGTATGTTGCTATATAAAATAATTCAATTATTTATGTGTTGCCGTTTCTATGCAGACAACTGGTTTAAAAAATGGGGCCTTGCGGCATGATATTCATTATTGGCTTGGGAAAGATACCTCGCAGGTAAGCTTGTGCTATTTCATACTTCTTTCAAGTTGTTGAATTTTGATCATCTTGTTAGTTCTTTTAACTTGTAGATATGTTTGAACAGGATGAAGCTGGTACTGCGGCCATCAAGACAGTTGAATTGGACGCAGCTCTTGGAGGACGTGCGGTTCAGTATCGTGAAGTACAGGGTCATGAAACAGAGAAATTCTTATCTTATTTTAAGCCATGCATCATACCTCTAGAGGGCGGAGTTGCATCTGGGTTCAAGCACGTTGAGGCTGAAGAACACAAGACACGGTTGTTTGTTTGTAAAGGAAAACATGTAGTCCATGTTAAAGAGGCAAGTCCTTTCAAATAGATTATCTAATGATGAAGGACAAGTCTGATTAAGTGTGCGGCTTAGATGTATTACATATGTGATATAATGTCTAATGTTTAGTACACACACACGTATACCCCATATATATAGTGTATATGTATGATTGTAGGTATGTTATTCTCTGATCTTTGTTAAGTTGCTGTTTTTTGTTTGTTATAGGTTCCTTTTGCTCGATCGTCGCTCAATCATGACGACATATTTATTCTAGATACCAAGTCCAAAATTTTTCAGTTTAATGGTTACAACTCATCCATTCAAGAGAGAGCTAAAGCGTTAGAAGTTGTCCAGTACATCAAAGATACATATCATCACGGGAAATGTGAAGTAGCTGCTGTTGGTGAGTGGCTATTTGAAGTTTAACAATGCATAACGATATTTCCTTATCTCTTTGCTGAGTGTATTTTGATGGTTTCCCACGTAGAGGATGGAAAGTTGATGGCTGATGCAGAAACTGGGGAATTTTGGGGTTTCTTTGGTGGCTTTGCTCCACTTCCAAAGAAAACATCCAGTGACGAGGAGAAAACTGTTGATTCTCATACTATTAAGCTACTTTGGTAATATGTTATCTCAATTCATGACTTGTAACTTTCCATATTGTCATGTCGATCTCTCCTGGATTGCATCTTGTTTCTGGGACGTCCAAAAACGCTATTATTTCCTATATCCAATAAACCCATATATCCTCTGTAACCTATTCCCTCCCATCTGTTCCTAATTCTTTGAGATATTGTGAACAAAAATTAGTCACTTCTGTTTTTTCTTGAAAAAAAATATAGATAGCCATATATATTGTCACGACAACATAATCTTTTGTAATTCCTTTTTTTTTTTTTTTTTGTTAATGCCATTTAAGTTATACCATAAAGAGTTTCAGCTACCAAATTATGCAGTAGTTCTGATAAAGCTATTACATGCCCTTTTTAGTGTTGAGAAGGGGAAGGCAGAACCTGTTGATACTGATTCTTTGACGAGGCAGTTGCTCGACACAAATAAATGCTACCTGTTAGATTGTGGTGTGGAAGTGTTTGTGTGGATGGGGAGAAATACATCCCTTGATGAAAGAAAGGCCGCAAGTGGAGCCGCAGAGGTAACAATCAGTTCTTTTTAATTGTATAGTAGGTTGTGCAGTTGACTAATTCTTAATAATGCTTGCCTTGTTCTTGATTTCATCAAACAGGAGTTAGTAAGTAGTGAAAGTCGACCAAAAGTCCACATAATTCGAGTCATTGAGGGATTTGAGACAGTGGTGTTCAGGTCTAAATTTGAATCATGGCCTCAGACAGCTGAAGTTACTGTGTCAGAGGATGGTAGAGGCAAGGTAGCAGGTCAGCTATTGAAATGTTTTACATATATATTCCTTGTGTCATTATTTATTCTTAGGGTACTTTCTCAGCACAAGAAATTTAAGATTTTCTCATTCATGTTACAGCACTTTTAAAACGTCAAGGGGTTAATGTGAAGGGCTTGTTAAAAGCGGATCCTGTGAAAGAAGAACCTCAACCCCATATTGACTGCACTGGACACTTGCAGGTATACAAATACATACATATATTTATATACATATGCATATACATATATATATATATATGTATATATATATATATATATGAATGAGTTTTCAATGGTTACGTCTCCATCGATGGTCACCCATTAAATATAGCAATTTGATGACGTGGCGTAATAAGAATTCAATTTCATTAATTGCAATAAATTTTTTTGGTCAACTACTCAATTTATTACACACACACACACACACACACGCGCGTGTATGTATATATATGGGTGTGGTTTTAATGGTTACTCCAATATTTACCCATCGATGGGTATCGTTGTTTTAGCTGTAAGATATTGATCCGACGGTTGTAATAAATTAGATAGTTAACCAAAACAATTAATGAAACTGGATTCTTATCACGCCAATCATTAAATTTTCATATTTAATGGTAACCATCGATTGAAACGTAACCATTAAAAACAAGTCCATATATATGTGTGTGTGTGTGTGTGTGTGTGTGTGTGTGTGTGTGTATATATACCCATCGATGGGTATCGTTGTTTTAGCTGTAAGATATTGATCTGACGGTTGTAATAAATTAGATAGTTAACCAAAACAATTAATGAAACTGAATTCTTATCACGCCAATCATTAAATTTTCATATTTAATGGTAACCATCGATTGAAACGTAACCATTAAAAACAAGTCCATATATGTGTGTGTGTGTGTGTGTGTGTGTGTGTATATAGTTAATGGTCACTTTAGTATGTACCCTCAATTGGTATCATTGTTTTAGCCATAAGACATTAATCCGACAGTTGTAATAAATTGAATAATTGACCAAAAAAATTTATGACAATTTATGAAACTGGATTCTTATCACGTTACGTCGTTAAATTTCCATATTTGATGGATAACCACGCATGTGATGGAGCCAGAAATTTTTGCCAATGGGGGCTAATAATTAAATCAAAAGTTTATTGGGCTTTTAATTTTAGGGATATAACATTAATTTTAGTGGGGGACAATTAGTACCAACATAATATAATACCTAATTATATATATAAGATTTAAAAGGAAAAAAATTGAGGGGCTAGCTTTGGTTGGTTTTGCTGATGTTTCCAGGGAAGAATTCCAGAAATGCAAATTGATTTTCCAACAAATTGATCGGTTTGTTGAGTTGGAGTGATAAGTTTGATTTTAAGTCATAATCTTGTGTAGCATTAGTTTTGCCCCGCTTTTTGAAGCACCATCTATTGATTTTTAAGTCATGGTGGCAGAACTGAGCAGAATCCAAGAGACATGGAAATTGAAGCCACTATCTAATATAGAAATGAAAGATGTAAAAGAGGGAGAGATGCATTTTCTATTATAATAAATTTATTAGATGTAGAAAATTTGAGAGTAGGCCTTAATGATTTTTTGTTGTTTAAAAACTTTTAATGCTCATCATAGAAAGTGTCTTGAGAAACGGCAAAGAGATGATCTTTTTTTATTTATTTTTTAAATCTGGTGTGTTCCACGCAGTTGCTAACTGATGTTGCTATTAATGCACTTTTTTTTTTTTTTTTTTTGGGTTCTTGAAGTACTTATAGCTTATACTGTTACATCTTATGTACTGCGATTGGTTCTTGAAGTACCATTTTTTTTTGTTGGGGGTTTGGAGTTCAGTATTTAGACTGGTTATAAACTGTAATGAGGGCGGCTTATCTTATTGTTCTGATAACTGTAACTTTCATTGCACAGGTGTGGCGTGTTAATGGCCAGGAAAAGATTCTTCTTCCAGCTTCGGATCAGTCGAAACTTTACAGTGGAGATTGTTACATCTTCCAGTATTCTTATCCTGGAGAAGAAAAGGAGGAGTACCTTATAGGAACATGGTTTGGGAAGCAGAGTGTTGAGGTAAAAGTCTCAGAAGATTTTAGCCTTTTACTTGCATTGTTTCGAGCAATGCTTCTATTGCAAAGCCATTGGCAAGCTTAATAATCAGGCATTGTATTGAAAACAGGAAGACAGAGTCTCAGCCGTTTCATTGGCAAGTAAGATGGTTGAATCACTAAAGTTTCTGGCTTCCCAGGTAGTTTTACTTCGCCTGTAACATGTATATTACCATGGACACTCACTGTCCTCGTTGCTTTCAACAACTCTTGCTAATGGTTTTGTTTTTTCCTCCTGGTTTTCCAGGGTCGTATCTATGAGGGAAATGAACCAGCACTGTTCTATTTAATCTGCCAGAGCGTTATAGTTTATAAGGTGTGTGGAGAATTGAGATACTGAAGAAATATTTTACTTTGCAAAGCTGTCTATCTCTATTAATTTGTTATAACTAGTTTCATTGGCTTTCATTTGACTGGAAAAAATTAACTTCTGCAAAATCTCTCAGGGTGGTCTTAGTGATGGCTACAAGAAATATGTTGAAGAGAAGGAAGTTCCTGATGAGACATATCAAGAAGATGGTGTTGCACTATTTCGTATCCAGGGCTCTGGACCTGATAATATGCAAGCTATACAAGTTGATGCAGTATGTGTTTTGTTTTGTTTATATGTGTGTCTGTGTCCGGATATGTTATTTATTTATTTTGGTTATGTTGGTTTTTAGCCTGTTCATATGGGACCCATATTTAAATTTTCCTTGTTTTCTGTCATCAGGTTGCATCATCGTTGAATTCCTCCTACTGCCACATTCTACACAGTGGCTCAACTGTCTTTACATGGACAGGAAGCCTTACAACCTCAGACACCCATGAGCTTGTTGAGAGGCAGCTGGATCTGATTAAGGTCTGACATGTTTGATATTTCCCATTCTGCTATAATTTGCAGATATGTATGAGTGGTTTTTTTATTTTTTATTTTTTATTTTTTATTTTTATAAATATTGATCTGATGGAGATCTAAATGAGTTAATCATATTTGTACCTTGGACTTAAACTAGCTGTTCTTCTTATCCTAAACATATGTTATCGCAAGGAGGCAGCTTTCATTTATCTTCTACATTTATCTGTAATATTGAGCTTCATATTCATTCAATATTCATGTTTTCATAAAGTCTCCTTGGTTTGCAGCCGAATGTTCAGTCAAAACCACAGAAGGAAGGTTCAGAATCTGAACAGTTTTGGGATTTGTTGGGAGGAAAGTCCGAATATTCCAGCCAAAAGATTGGAAGGGATGCTGAAAGTGATCCTCACCTATTTTCTTGCACCTTTTCAAATGGTATGGATGATTCTTTCAGTGGTTGGCAAAATTATGTTTCTTCAAAATTTCGATTCTTCCATTTCTTTGAACTGTGAATTCCTTTAACTTTTCTTTCTTTCCTTTCTTTCCTTTCTTTTGGTTTTGGCCAATGCTCATCAATCTGCAGGAAATTTGAAGGTATTACAAGCATAACTACCAGATTTATTACGTGAAAGCTATTTTCAGTTATGTACATTATGAATTGTTTTGTCTACTATTTTTATTTACTTAAGTTTGTTATTGTCGTTGCAGGTGACAGAGATATACAATTTCTCCCAGGATGATTTGATGACCGAAGATATATTTATCTTGGATTGCCACTCAGAGATATTCGTTTGGGTTGGCCAACAGGTCGATTCCAAGAATAAAATGCAAGCTTTAACTATTGGGGAGGTACGTTTAGTTAGGCTTCTAGAACCAGTACTTACCAGCTGGTTGCCCTAGGTGCTAAAATAATCAAATCTGTTTTTTATCTATTTCAACTTTTTTCACCTTAGTAGTAAATACATGTTTCTTAACTATAGATTTAAGTGCCACTTGGAAATTTATTAACCTCTTTCGCTTTCTTAACAGAAATTTCTTGAGCGTGATTTCCTTCTAGAAAACTTGTCTCGTGAAGCCCCAATTTATATTGTCATGGAAGGGAGTGAGCCACCTTTCTTCACGTGCTTCTTCACGTGGGACTCAGCAAAGTCTTCAGTAAGTAACTCTAGCAATCACTGAGTGATCATGTAAGCCAGTTTATGGTGAAAATATGTAAATATTTCCATTTGGTTGCAGATGCACGGGAACTCATTCCAGAGGAAACTTACTTTAGTTAAAAATGGGGGTACTCCAGTCACAGATGTAAGACTCCTTAGTCCAATCTGGTTGCATAAGATCTTGATCTTTGATCATTGTTATGCCATTATTATAGTTTTGTGGGGCTAGTTTAATTACATTAGCTGTGGAAGATGTTGTCATCCTTTCTCAATTCCTTTTCTCATGAGTTGCGTACCGTAAAGGACTGAAGTGGGGAAAGTAATGTTATTTGAAAGGAAAGTAAAATAATGAAAATGAAGATCACCGATTCCCTTTCTAGTGTTCTTATAATACAATTTTCTTTTTAGTGTTCACTAAACTTGGGAATAGGATTCTTATCAATGTAATGAGAAATATGATTCGTATCTATTAGATGGTGCAATGAAAAAAAAGACAATTCTCTTTTCAGTGCTTACTAAACCTTAGAAATAGGATTTCTATCAATGTAATAATGCAAATATCCTTTTGCAAATAACCATCGACTTATAACATGTCAACCCATTAAGGGTACATTAGTAAAATTAACTTTCCTTCTCCTCATTTCCATATCATGTTGCCGGCTAACTCATTACTGATTTTGCAAGTAAACACATGATTAGATGGAAAACAATATCACTCTTCCTTTTCCCTTTCTCTTTCCCTTTCGCTTTCTCTTTCATATGAAGTAAACACGCTCGAATTGTCTAATAAGTGTGTATTGAATACTGATGCCAAATGTAACTATGCTTCAAAAATGCTCGTCATATCAAATGATCTAATTAGTTCTCTGAATGTCTGATTATATGACTAGAAACCTAAACGGAGGACACCTGTGTCTTATGGAGGAAGGTCTAGTGTCCCAGATAAATCTCAGCGTTCCCGAAGCATGTCTTTTAGCCCTGATCGAGTTCGTGTGAGGGGCAGGTCTCCAGCATTCAACGCTCTGGCTGCTACTTTTGAAAATCCCAGTGCCAGGAACCTTTCAACTCCACCTCCTGTGGTTAGAAAATTATACCCAAAATCAGTGACTCCAGATTCAGCAAAACTGAATTCAAAGGCCTCAGCTATTGCGGCACTTAGTGCTGGCTTTGAGAAATCAGCACCACCAAGAGAGGCTATGATACCCCGATCCATCAAAGGTAAGTGTTGCTTAATTTTCTTTCAGACAGACTTCAGCACTTGTTATCGTAGCATACTGAAAAGTTAAATCACCCTTTTATTGGTGGTACAGTGAGCCCAGAGGTGACCAAACCAAAACTAGAGACAAACAACAAGGAGAACTATAGGAGCAGCAGAATAGAATCTCTCACAATACAAGAAGATGCGAAAGAGAATGAAGCAGAAGATGAGGAAGGTCTTGTAATTTTCCCGTATGAACGCCTTAAAACAACTTCAACAGATCCTGTTACAGAGATTGATGTGACCAAGAGAGAGGTAAAGCTTTGAAATGACATATTTTTATCAGAATTTGGCGCCTTTCTTTCACTTCTGACGCTTTGGGTTTGATGCTTGCAGACCTATCTTTCTTCGGCCGAGTTTAGAGAGAAATTCGGGATGTCAAAGGAAGCTTTCTATAAGTTGCCCAAATGGAAACAGAACAAGCATAAAATGGCCCTTCAACTGTTCTGAGTCTCCTTCCTATCACTGTTTTCTTCAAGCTTCCTGCAGTGTAGGATGCAGGTTGAGAAAAGATTGCCTGCAAATCTGTAAAGTCATTCGCTGTGATAATTCCGGCGTAGTTTCCAACCCTTTATGTTTATCGGTTTTAAGCATTCTAATTGCGATGCTTTGTTTCTTCCTGCAGTGGGAGGACTCAATTTCTCAGGAGTACAAGGGACAGCATCAGTGCTTTTTTAGCTGCTTCTGCTCCCAAGAAGTTGGTTTTTTATATTATTGGACAGAGTCAAATTTTTTTTTTCCCGTTTTATTTTTGGTCTTGCGAGTTTGCTTGAACGTCTAGGCTTGGTTTTTTCGTCGAGTTAGCAGGTTGCTATTCTTTATGGTCACAGGTTTGTTGTGAGTTTTCTTCCCCCCAAATTTATCACATTTTTTAATTAAAAATTTGATTTTCAGTAGAGCAATTAGTTGGGGCTTGCAAATGCAGTCTATTTAGGTTGTATTGATAATTGAGGATGTAAGTGTGTACAGCAGAGTGTAAAAACCAGTCTGGTCCTAATTTGTTTTGAACAATAAAAGGTGTGATTTTTTTCCCCCCTTCCTTTACCATAATACCATATATGCCCCCCGAGCTACGTCACGTGTCACTTATTCAGAGCTCAATGAATGCCGATCCTTTGAAATAAATCGGCGGGGTGCGAAAAATCGCTCCTTTTTCTCGCATTTTCCATGTCGGAGTGGTTTTCTAGCATCCATGGCAGGTAATATGAGAAGGAGAGACTCATACTTTACTTTCTCACCAAACTAATGCTTATTGCCAACATTTACCAAAAAGGACTTGAGAAGCGTCGGAAAAACTCACCATTTCCCGGGTTTCTTCAAGAATATTATTGGAAGTGCCATTCTTGGATCAAGTTCTCCCTACTTGGGCGAGCCACATGACATAGGCACCACTTCACACGTGACACTTGCAACAAAAGAAAGGGAGAAAGAGAGAAATATGTTAAGATTTAAAATGAATTAAAATTAATAGGTCAATAGTTTACATAAGTTAATAAATTGGTTAAATTATTATTTTTGTTCATAATTTGTCTGGTTATGAACCATAACTTGACAATTTATTGTCCATAATTGTCCATAACTTATCTGACTATGAACCATAACTTGATAAGTTTGTCCATAACTTATCTGGTTATGAACAATAACTTGACAAGTTATGGCCTAGTAATTTCTATAACTAAAAATTGGCATATATACTTTCTTAAGCTTTTCATATTGGCATATTTTTTTACTATTTTTCCAAAAGAAAAGGGACGTCTTGCGTTTTGTCTGCACTGCTTTCCAAAGATGAGTCCCTAATTCTTTATTGCTCAATTTAATGAATTTAGAGGATACAAGAAAAAGTTACTTTTAGAGTGTATGAGTCTGAAATTTTATTTCTTATTTTTAATTAATACCCTTTTAGTTATATAATTATTCACTAAAAAAACATATTATTAATAAATAAGGGTAAAAATTTAAATTCACGTGTTTTAAGAGGTACTTGTCTCTTTTTTTTTTTTTTTTTTTTTTAGATAATGGGTTACGATTGAAGACATTCTCCAATTGAGGGCACAATAAATACGTTTTAAATTTTGGGTATGTTGACGCATAAGACATGGTTTAGTGAAAAGTTAGCCCGTTCTTCAAGCAGAATTAGATAAGTTCCATCTGTTGTATCTGGATTTACACAATAACTAAGGGAAATGAGAGGACACTGGTAACGTATTGATCCCTTTTCTTCTCTTAGCAAAAAAAAGTATATTCTTAAAATTTATAGAAAAAAGAGAATTTTGTGTTATGGTACTTGAAAATATCATGTCGCTAGAAATACGATAATTCAGGGGTCATATTTGTGCTTTATTGAACTTATTTTTTTTTATTTTTTAAAACACGGTCAAGATCTGTGCTTTATTGTTTTACGATCTTTTTCCTTTTTTTTTTTTATAAATTTGTTTTTAACTAACTCAAGCTCAAACTCGAAAAAGAAAATAACTAGAAGGGTTAATATCAAATTTGACCTCCATAGAATAAGGCTTGTTTTACGCTCCCATGACTAGTTGGTAAAAAGAAATATATGAGGGCAATGTCACTGTAGGGGTTGCTAGCAAAAGAGAAGACAACATTTTGGAGGAAATTTCCTAAGTAAAGACTCTTTCTAAGTTAGAAAGAGGAAAAAATTTGTGATTTTTTTTTTAAATTATAAATTTCATATAATTTTAAAGTCTATATTGCTCTTTAAATCAAGTAGTAACATGATCCAAAAAAAAAAAATTGCATTTTATTGACAAAAGTATTAAAATTGTAATTTATGAAGAACTCCGGTGGTCAATTTTATATCATTTTAAATTGAGGGATAAAGTTAGACAACTTTTACTCTTGGGGGTCAAATTTAAAATTAACCTGATAAATTAAATCAAAAAGCAAATCAAAATTTCCAAAGAAAGCCGATGGGAAGGGAAGCGACAAAGCCAAGCTGAGCAGCCGAACATTTCGGGTCCGGATAAAGCTAGTCGCAACAAAATTATAAAAAAAAAAAAAAAAAGGAAAAACGAAATTTCAAGAGAGAGAAAATTAATAGCCCAAAAAAATTAAAAAAAAAAGAGTAAAAATCAAAAAGCGTTTCCGGAAACTGCAGAGATTTCAGGACACGTCCGTTGATCGCTCTCTCTTGCCTCCTCTTTGCTGTTTGTTTGGATACCGACACTCTCCGCCTTATACTCACACTCTTACCCAAAAATTAAAAAATATATATATTTATATTTTTCATATATATATATATATACATATACATACGGTTTCTTCTCTCTCCATAACCAGAACCAGAAGGAGAACGAAGAAGAAGAAGAAGAAGAAGAGTAGAGAGGAGATATGAGCAGCGAAAAGGTTTCGTCTTCCGCTGCAACTTCCACCACCACTTTCACTCCCTCCTCCGGTGCTTTTTCTCCTCACGTCGAGCTCGCCAAGGGCGTCAATGGCCTCGACAAGCTCGTCCTCCGCGAGTTCCGCGGCAGCTCCGCCGAGGTATTCCTGATTCTCTCTCTCTCTCTCTCATGTTCTCGATTTTGATCGAGATCTGCTGCTCGATTTTGCTTCCGATTCGCGATTCTCGTGCGATATATATATATATATATATATGGATATATATGTGTGTGAATATATGTATGTATATATTTTTATCGCGTTGGGTGATTTTAGGTTTGTATTGGAATTTCGCGATCGGATCTGCGCGGTTCGGTTTGCTTAAATTTGATTATATTGTTCTGTACTTGTGAGATTATTTACACGTTTGGATTGTTGCTTACGACTGCGAATCGAATTGCATGTTCATAATCGACGCGGAATTTGTCGAAATTAGTTGAGTTAATTATGCAAGTGTACGCGAAATTAGTCGGATTTGTTTCAGATTTCATCCGATTCGTCTTTTTAGTGTTCGATTATTTGCATTTTGTAGGTGAATTGAAGTCAGATCTGTTTAGGATAGTTGTCAACCATTAGCATTTATGTCTTGTGAACACATGACTTACAGTAAGATTTGTTTGATTAGTATCAAATCTTTTTGGAAGGGAAGGCATTGATGCGCATTTAAGAATTGTGTATTACATTTTGACTTGGTAATAGCTTGTATATGGCCTTAAATTTGCTTGTCAAATAGTTCAGTCGTGCCCCGATTAGTGGCGGAGCCAGAATTTTAATTCAGGGAGGCCTAAACTAAAAACGTGAAAAATGCTAATAAAATCAACTCCAAATGTATTTAGATGAATAGTATATATGTATAGACTATTGAACATACTTGAGTAATAAAGGTTTTAGCAAGTAAATTAGATAAGAAAAACTATTTAGAAGGTACATATGAGAAAATAGTAGCTGCAAGTGTCAGAAAAGGAAAAAAAGATCTTTAAGTATGCAGGTTACATTTGAATGAATACATATTACTTCAATAAGGGCAAATTAGAGAAAATGTGCGTGTGAGAAAGTTGTAATTGAGAGGATTCTTTGAAAAGAAATTCTTAATTAGGGACACATTTTGAGAAAAATATTTTAATGTGTCATTTTTTATATAGCTTAGATTATATCTAAAATTATTTTAGAAGAGACCAATTTGAAAGAAAAATTGTTTTCATAAGAATAAATTAGAGAAAAAAAATCAGTTAGGTACATTTAAAGTATAAGATTTAATAGGAAAAGATCAAAAGAACAATAAGAAATAAAATTATTTGAGATTGGATTTTGTGAGGATATATTTAAATTTTTATTGATAAGGGGTGCATATATGAAATTTTTTTGAGAAAACATATACTAAAAATCAAATATCAAAAATCCAGGGTCCGTGCGGCAACTCTATTTGGCTTCAAGAAAGTGTTTTCCATGTTAAAGATTTACATTTTTAGTATTTTTTAATTTTCTAAAGTGCACATATGTTTTGGACCTTTTGGTGGAGAGACTAGAGATCTTGAGTTTAATATTAACTTCTTCATATCACTTCAAAGAGGATCATGCACAATTCTTTATGTTTTTTATTTGCATCATTAAAAAGCATATCTTCTCTTCTCCTTAGTTAAGTTCAAAGCATTTTGTAGGATTCTTGAATTTAATAGTGAATTTCTCATCTGAACTTTGGGGTTACATTGGTTGGTGAAGAAGATGAGGGGAAGATAGGTTTTCCTGGAAATTGATTAAGGCATTATACTAGTAAACTTGATATTAGTTTTAGTTTTGTGTGTGTGTGCGTGTGGAAAGAAAAGTAGAAGGGTAAAGGGAAAGAAGAAAAAAAACAGAGATTTTTATTATTCTAAGAGAAGGCAACAGCAAAAGGAGAACAAGATATCCTCCTGCAGAACAAGAAATAAGGCAAACCAAAAACTACAAGAAACTAGCCCCAAAAGTACAACATATTAGTCCATCAAAGAGGTCAAGGACACGTAGACAATGTTTTGGTGCATCAACGGTCAACCTAAAGCAGGAGAAAATCAAATGCTGTTAAAGCTGCTATAAAGTCTTTCCTAGTCTGGTCGAATTTTTTCAGTCACTGTTTGTGCATACTCAACTACTGATCTGCCTAGATATATTTACCAAACTGCCTTGATTGGCTACTTCACATTGTGTACTTTACTACTTTTCTTTTCTTCTAATTCTTTATATGTTCTAGAGTGCGACATTAGATATAACTTATGAGGCACTCTTGATGCTTAAATGAGGAACTTTTAACTTTTAAGGAATCCTAGCACATTCATTGACGTGGTTGTAGATTTGTTCGGTAAGAGATTAATATTGGGTGCTTCGCTTTGATGATACTCTTTTTTTTTTTTTTTTTTTTTTTTTTTTTTTTTTTTTTTTTTTTTTTCAGGTTTATCTGTATGGGGGTCATGTGACATCATGGAAGAATGATCATGGGGAGGAGTTGCTCTTTGTCAGTAGTAAGGTGCAATACAGTTTTTTAATGCCACCTTCCTTTCTGTTTTTAACAGAGTAATGTAGCTGGTAGGGACTTTTTATTTTGACTTCTTCCCATAGTTGTGAAGCCATTTTTTAGCTGCCTTTTTTGGAAATATGACACGCATCTGCACTTCAATTTGTATTTGGCTAGGGGAAAATAATCTATTTTCTTAGGCAAAGGTGTTATGTTTTAATAGTAATATTGGTGTTAACTATTGTTTCTGAGTGTGTGTGTGTGTGTTTCTATTGACTGATGAACCTTCCATTATAAGCCTCTATGTGCTCAACAACTAAAGATTTCAATTATTGGTTCTTAGTTTCATAACTGTCTTAAAAGAGCTGAAAACTAACAAGCTAATTTTTAAACACCCTTAATTAGGGTTGTTTTTCTATTCCCCTAATTGGTTTTTAGTTGCTTAGATGTCTTGATATAGAGTAGCAGGTTTTTGTAGTCTAAGATGATAATCTTGTCAAACTTTGTACCTTAAATGTGGTTGCTTTCTATCCCTACTTTGATAATAGTTGAGTTACTTGTTGCTTAGATGTTAACATAGAGTAGCAAGTTTGAATACCCTAACAAGCGAATTGTTGGGTTGTACCTTAAATGTGCTTGTTTTCTCATTCCATAGTTAAAATGATAGTTTATCCTTTTAGGGTCCAAATTCTACTTTTAGGTGTACTTGGATAGTTTGTAATCAGAAACTTCACTCTTTATAAGAGTTTCCAGAAAAGTTGGTGGGCCGTAGCTTCCCCAGGAAACTCTTGGAGATAGAAGAATGACATGTACTTGTGCCAAACTTAAAAGATTTTTTAATCTGTATTTATTTTATCATATATATGTGTGTGTGTGTGTATATTTTTGTATCTCCATATCAAAACTTTTATTTATTTTGTAAATGATGGGTGAGTGGACAAAAGTGACGTAGAAGGTTACCGACACATCCCAACTATGTTGGCATCTACTAGCAACCCCATTCCACACCAAGTTCACTACTCAATCTTATTAAAAGTAAAAATACATAGGTATAATTAATTGTTCATAAACATGCCCAAACGGCTTACAAATAAAAAATTGAGAATCCTAATAAAAGAAAAACCCTAGAAGGAAAAGTTAAAGGATAAAATAATTACAAAGATCATCAGCTGAAATTGCAAAAGGATCTACTCTCTTCATAAAAAAGAAAAAGAGAGAGAGAGAGACCTCGTTAGAACCTTCTATGAGTAAGACCATGAGGGGGAAAACTGGCCGAAAGAAAAACGCTACACGATCCAATCTGGTCTTTGATTACTGCGAGTAAAAATTTCTTGAAACAGTAAACAACGCTGACCATCTTTGTCTCATAAAATCAAAGGTTTACAAAAGCTCAGTTTAGTGTACCACCAATTTAGCTTAGTCAAAGTCAATTTATCTTCAGCCTTATTGCATTACCTGTAAGCATGTGAGGCCCAAAATGTGCGATTAGACAATAATCTTAAACTCAAAGCTTCATGCCAGCTCAGTCTAATAATCCTAAAGCTTCGTGCCAGCTCGCATGACATGCAGCACTCTAACCAAAGAAAATTCAACATCTCTATGCAGCTAATTTAATAGCCAACAGTAAACACCATCACAGTCCTATTAAACTCTTCTGAAGATAGTTTGCTTGCACCGAGTCTTCTCATCTTCTAGTGCCCCAAAATAAAGGCAAAAGCAAAATCTATTATTTGGAAGGCCTAAATATTGTTTATGTACAAATCTTATGAGAAGCCGACGACTTTCCTATCTTTATAAAGCATGTCATTGAGCAGGAAAACATAATTTTTTATTTGTTTATTTCCATGCTTTATTATCTTTACAATGTAGAGCCATCATCTCCTTCGACTTTAAAGGCACGGGATAAATGAAAATGAAGTCAGTGCTGCATGTCACTGAACAGTTGTTGCAGTTAGTGCTGAAAATGGAGTGAGTTTCAACCTGCATTACCGATGTATCCTAAATGTTACTGAACGTTAAAGAATTATTACTCATCATTCTTTTTTTTTTTTTTTTTTTTTTTTTTTTTTTTTTTTTTTTTTTTCTTCTTTCCTGTTCTTTTCTGTTTAACATGTCCAACAAACATGAGTTGTTTGAAAAGTGAGATTTTCGCTGCCTCTATGAAATTATTTATCTTTTTACAAGCATTGTTGATCTCCATTTATGTAGTTGTCACTAGTTATAATCATAATTGAACTATTTTCCTTGAACACGAGCTTAAATGAATAAGTACCTGTTGTTATGCTAGAATTCCTACTTGTTGATAAATGATTGGTTTATAGGTTTATCGTAAATAGTATGCATATGATGGAAAAGAAAAAAGGGAAAAGTAAAAAATTCTTCTCGATGATTCATGTGCGCGTCATAGCAAATAGCTGAAGATGACCTGCGTATTTGGTTGCAGTCTCATCTTTCACCTCTGCGTAGGATTTGTTGAGATTTCATGCATACCGAAATTCTTTATCTGTTTTTTTAATTAATTTTGAAGTATTAAACAGGGAATGAAAAATGGTTTGGTTCACTCAGGAAAAAAATATTGAATATTCATTTTTTACATGAATCTTAAGAAAAGATGTGCTGAGCTAGTCTTTGATGCGTTAGAATTTTACATACATGTTAATGATAAGAAAGATATTCCTTGTGTGGATGTAATTGTGATAAATCTTAGATCTTTGCTTTTAAGCTTGGCAATGTTTACCCACCAAAATAATTGGAGTTGTTGTTATTTTGCCTTCCGGCTTCCTTTCCTTCTGCCTTATTAATCTGTTTAGTTTTTATCTGCTCCAGTTTATTACGTATGTGATATGATCCAGCCAAAAGCAAATGCTAAAATTTTTATACTCTTTATCCAGGCTATTTATAAGCCTCCTAAAGCAATTCGTGGTGGCATTCCAATATGTTTTCCTCAGGTATGTTCTGCTCTTTATGCCCTTTCACCTTTCTTGCTTTCTCTGCTTATGTTCATCATTGAAAGGGATATTTTTTGTGTGAGTGCAGTTTGGAAGTCTTGGTCCTCTTGAGCAGCATGGATTTGCTAGGAACAGGTTTTGGGCTGTGGATACTGATCCACCCCCTTTTCCGACACCAACATACAGAGCTTTTGTTGATTTGATCCTTAAGCCTTCTGAAGAAGATATAAAGATTTGGCCCCACAGGTGAGAAGAACTTGGCAACTTTTATCAGTACTTTACCTGTTTCTTCATCTATCAGTCTGACTATCTCTACATTAATTTTAATATATGTATATAGATTATAAATTTTGGAATTTCTGTTGGATAGGCCTTGAGATTCTTTTTATTTTTATTTTATTTTATTTATTTATTATGTTTTCTATTCACTTGGAAGTTATGAGTTTCGCCTGCGGGTAGCTTTGGGACCAGGGGGAGATCTCATGCTGACATCGCGCATCAGAAACACCAACACTGATGGGAAGCCATTCACATTCACGTTTGCATATCATACTTATTTTTCTGTTTCAGATATCAGGTAATTAGTATGCTTTTGTTTTATTCACATATCAATGAAGGGAGTTTTTCTTATAAAGGAAAAAAAAAAAGATTACAAAACTAAATAGTAAATACCATTGAACTCAATTAAGTTGCTTCGTGCATCACGTGATAAGTTTGGGCTGGCCATATTCAATTATTAACTTTCTTCTATTGTTGTCTTCAATATCAGGACAGCTGCTTCATGTCTCTCATTTCTGATTAATCTATAGAACAGAGATTACTTTGTTGTGTTTGCCTTTCTTTCGTAGTTCTGTAACATATAGTTGAATTTGAATATCACCCTGTGACCTTGAACAGTATTTGATTAAAGTGAGTTGTGCTGTCCAGTGAAGTTCGAGTAGAAGGATTAGAGACCCTGGATTATTTTGACAACTTGAAGAATCGGGAGCGTTTTACTGAACAAGGGGATGCGATAACATTTGAATCAGAAGTAAGTTCCAGTAGGGAGTTTAAGATGCCATTGTCTATCCTTCTGCTTTTTCTTTCCCGAGGAAGTTTTGGGTGCTATTCTTCATCTTTCTGCTTTAAGTGAGTAGTTTTCTTCATTGTTTAGGTTGACAAGATCTATCTTAGCACCCCTACAAAGATTGCAATTCTTGATCACGAGAAGAAGAGAACATTTGTAATACGCAAGGATGGACTCCCAGATGCTGGTAATTGGCTGTTTACATCTGCGTTTCTTTTCTGTTATTGGTAACCAAGTTTGTCCTTCGACATACCTGAACATTTGTACTCGGAATTGGAGTACCTCTATGTCCATGAACTACTCATGCCTACTTGGCTTTGGAGTTTGGCGGATCTCCAGATAAAGCCATATGATATCTGTAACTAAATGGACCAATGCAACCGGAAAGGACAAAAGAAAAGAGAAAATTGGCCTACTTGGAACTTTTAAACCCAGCCTGCACTGAATGAGATTGGTTAATTGTTTAAGTTGCTAATCTTCTTCATCATTCTTATGGAGAAATCAAATTTTTTTAGCTGGATCTCCTCTGTGAAATTATATTCCAAATAGTGCTCGTTGAAAACTCTAATATCTCTGTACATTGTTTTCATGCAGTGGTTTGGAATCCGTGGGATAAGAAGGCGAAAGCTATATCTGATTTTGGAGACGATGAGTACAAGCACATGCTGTGCGTTGAGGCCGCTGCTATTGAGAAACCTATCACATTGAAACCTGGCGAGGAGTGGAAGGGAAGACAGGAACTTTCTGCTGTTCCCTCCAGTTACTGCAGTGGGCAACTCGATCCTCAAAAAGTCCTCCAGAGCAGCTAAGATCCATCGACATTATATTTGTACAGGTACTTAAACTCGAAGTTCGAAACAAGTATCCTAACTATCCAGTTGCTTTGTTAATAATGGCCTTCAAAATAGCTATCACTGCTTCAAGTAGTCCCTGGGAATAGGGAATGCAGACCATAATTCTATGAATACTCTTTTTTTCTTTTTTTTCTTTTTTTAAATAATTATTTGGTCTCACTTTTTGTCTCGGTTTATGTCATAAATTTCTGCTGCACTTCTTTGCCTATAAAAATTTGTTTTTGTTCCTTCTATATTTGTCGAGGGGATATTTATTTTGTGTTCATTCTATCCGATTGTAATGTTGATGGTATGTTCACTATTTTGTCCAGGAGTGTAATGGCGAATAGAAAGGTTTTAGTAAGAGAAGAAAATCAATAGAAAAGAGATGTTTAGCGTCTTCTCTTTACTTACCTTTAGCAAGTGGAATTTAACCTTGATGTTCTTGCATTTAACACCCACCCCGCGCCGTCTTTTTCCCTTCTTTTTTATCCCCCACCCCCTCTTTTTTTATGTTGTAGAACTTTTATTTCAAAGTTACTTTATATGCGAGAACCAAGCCGTTAGTTTTGGAAGTTAAGAATAGCCCCAAAAACATGATTTGTTTCAGGGGCTGTTAATCTATAGATGTCTCTTAACGAGTAAAAAATTATGTTGATGATCCATGTTTTCTTTTTTCACAGGTACTTTGTCGTAATGTGTAGATGGATCAGAATTCGAAGTAATGCCCCGCTATTTTATCTTATTTTATTTTATTTTGCTTTTTCCTCTTTAAATTTTCCTCATATTGGATTTAAAGATGGATTCATGAGTAGATGACTTTTGTTTAAATAATATTTTAGTCGATGACTTTTGTAAGGTTGTCTCGAGTCAGATTGGAAACCTAAGGTGGGATGGGATGGCCAGCAATGCCACTATGGTGGATGGAGATAACATTTTTTTTTTTGTTCAATGGAATCTCTCATTGGAATGAAAATTAGGTGTTCTTTTGTTTTAAGTCGATTGACTAGAAATTTATATCTACCTTACTACGTAAACTTGGATTTGTAGAAAATGCTTGTAGAGAATTTCCACTCATAAAGTAGACAGATCATCTATTTGTTAAACTATTGTTGATTTTATTATTTCGTCTGTTGATAATCCTGATGGTCCTCTCGGCTGTACTTTTATTGAAGGCTTACGGGTTGTGCTTTAAATTTTAGTTGTTTACGTTTTGGTTTAATAAAGGCGCTGATATTTCCGTCATGTAGTTTTAGCATTTTCTTTGTAATAATGGAGGCAGTTCTTCCACTATTTTGAGTTTGTTTTGGTCTGTCAGATTTAGGTCTTGGCAGGTAAAGAGTTTTGCTATCGGCAGTGCTTATTCAACTTCATTTATAAGCTATGAGTCTAGGTGGAAATGATGATGGCCTCTGAGCTACATGTTACATGTTCTCAATGCATAAAAGCTTCCATCAATTGTAGTGGTTTTAAGAAGAGCATTATGTGTTTTCAAGTTGATATTTTAAGGGATTTTTTTGATTTTGATTCTCGTCTTGCATCATTTTTCTTGTTGTACTTCATTCTTGATGGAATCGGTTTTTATTGAGTGTTTTGTATTGTGTAATAGAGTCATCCGCACATTTTTTTTAAAGGGAAATTATATTTAATTAAAAATTGATAATCAGTTGTCTTAGTACAATGCTAATGATCCATTAGAGGGATGGCGCATGCTTGAGGCCTGAAAACGGGAGAACATCTCGGTACACTAATAACAAGCACACATAAAGCTCGAATTGAAGAAATCCCTCTCATTGAGGTAGGTTTTTGAGAGCTAGAGGAACAGATTGTCAAACCCCACAAATAGGAGACATCTACACGACATAGAAAATTTTTTAGTCAAACCAAAACAACCTTATCAAGATACATACAAACAGTCTCAAGCCGATCACAAAAAACTAACAACAAACGGCAAAACAAATGAGGGTCGGGTCGAGAGATTATTGCCCTTATTACAAACACGAAAATTACATAAAAAATATAAAAAAACCTCTGACCACCGCTGTTAGAAGTCTCTGGTGAAGGGCAACTGGCCAAGGGCTGTCGAGGGAGATAGTCGACAAAGAGATCTCAGCCACCAAATGACAAACTCGCATGGAAACGTAGCCCATCCATTCGGCTTCCAAGTTCCAAACTAATTTAGATCCACCAAAACGGAGCCACCACATCATACACTACCACCACAAATGAGAGGCTCACGACAAGGCGAGCCAAAGGATCAAGTTTCATGGCCGGGAGCTTGATGATGCGCCCGAAGGCGGCCCCAGAACTCCGGGCATCGTTCACTCTTTTTTTATAGTTCATGTCGAGGAGAGAGAGAGGGAGAGTTGAAAAACCCTAACAGCCATTCTTTTGTCATCTGTACTATTATTGGTGTTTATAAGAATTTTTAATTGAATGAAATTTTACTTTGAAAAAAAAAAGAGTATTTTTAAGCTGTAGTTGAGCAAGGATTTTATATTTGAAGCAAAAGTTTCAACTTTCATGCAAGGGTGTGGATTTATTAACTTTCTTGCTCTTTCTAAATCATACGTATAGAATCAATTTCAGTAATAATTTAGATGTCATATTAATGTTAAATTAGTGTGTTTATATTAAATTGTATTATTTAAATAGAAAAATTACCCTTTAACGTAATGTTAGTTTAGTGTTAAATTTGACATTATGCTATTTTTGATGTTAAATTTGAAATCTAATTATTCACTTGTACCAGTTTGCTTTACATTAAACGGGTTGCTTTGCCAATTGCCTATTGGTTGAGTTTGCGTTGAATATATTAATTTTATGCTCCTTATATGAGCTGTACAAGCTATACTATACGGCTCCACGGAGCTGTGGCTCTGCACTCACAAGGGGTGGCCCCCACAAGGGCATATGGTCAACCCCTCGTGAGTGAGGAGCCGAACGGCTCCGCGTAACCGTTTAAGTTCTGTTTCATATGAAAATTTAAATAAGAGTGATTTTAGTTTTAAAATCAGAATCATAATTCATGGTTTAAATTGGGATTCAAACTATTAATTTTTGGGTTTGAGCTATGTGAATCAGAACCAGGGGTTTGAACAAGTCAAAATCAAGAGGGGAGATGGTTTTATTTTAGAATAATTTTGATTTAAAACATCATATCAGAGTTGAAACTTTGAACTCGAACCATCTAAATCAAACACTGATTTTGTTGGGCTGTGTTCAAACCACTTTTTATTTTTTTACAAACAAACATTAATTTAAACTAAAACCATAGTTTCAATTATAGAACTCTCATGCCAAACGGGGCCTTAGCTTTTTTCTAAATATATACACCAATGGTATAATCCCATATTAGTACTGATATTGGATTGATTTCATACCATAAAATATAAATACCGTATTGATTTCTTTCATTTGTTTTGCTCAGAGGCTTCTTGGTCTTTCATTTTGCACTTTGGGATTATATGTAAGGTGATAGATAGCTGGTCGAGGCTCATCATTCTGGTGGTTATCCACTCCTCCTTGGAAGCTCGTTTCCTCATATACTAGGACATTATAATTGGTGGGTATAGAGACAAAAAAAAAAAGTGCCTATAGTCTCTCTTCTTTTTTTTTTTTTTTTTTTTTTTTTTTTTTTTTTCAAAAAGGATTTGATGATTGGATAAATTAAGGGACCTTCTTTGATACGTCAACATATTAGTAGGTCAGGTTTTCTGTTCGTCAGATCTGTATAAAATCACATAAAAGTCAAAAAGTACGCAGATTTAACGGTTAGAAAAACTTAACCTACCGGTACACCATGCGTATCAGAAAATCTCTAATAAATTAAATCTTAACTGGCAAGCTAGTAAAATTGTTCAGTTTTTCTTTTTTTTATTTTTTTATTTTGGGATATAGTAGAGATTGAACCTACGACCTCCTCAGAAACCCTACCCCACTTGAACTCCCCCATACTGTTCGACCAAGCGGTCTTAGACATGTCACTTACATTTCAATTTATGAGATATAAAAGTTTAGCTTAAATACAATAACCTGCACCAATTGAAATATGTAACTAAGCTAAATTATCATCGCATACTTTCACACCGGGACGAAGCCACTGCATGCTCAGGGGGGCTGAAGCCCCCCCTCAACGTTTTTTTTTTATTTGCAATTTTATATGTTTATTTATGCCAAATATGTAGATAACCCCCCTAAAAAGTTAAAAACTTTATTTTGTTCCCCAAAAATTAAAAAGCACTTATTGTTGTATAATATAAATTTTGCAAAAAGTTCTTATGAAGTTTTGAGTCGCACCCCACTATACAACAAAAATTATAATTATGTTCTGACTGAATAATTATAACATAAACCATATCTCTATTCAGGAAAAAATTGTCGTTTGTTTTTTTTTTTTTTGTTTTTTTTTTTTGCATACCTCAAAGAATTTTTTTTGGCTCGACCACTGATTAGCCTTCTGACCAAAATTCCTGACTTGCTTTCACACCGGTTCTTGTCATCTTGTATTTAAATGTTGATAAAAGAACGGCCACATAAAAATATTTTGCATACATTCACCCATGTTTTTTGCACGTCACTTCCAATTTTCCACTAAAACCTATGAAAATAACACATATGTAGCTAGTATACCGCAAACAATTCAGGAGCACCTTCGTCACCATGCTATCTATTCCATTGCCACATTATATATTTTTCTTTTTCGGATATCCTTCTTTAAAAGAAATAAAATTATTTTGGTATTTTTAATTATAGCCAAACATCTCGTTAGTATCCTATATTTTTTATAATATTAAAACAATACCTTAATTTAAAAAAAAAAACATTCTTTCAGTACCCTGAGACCGATTAAAAATATAAAACGTCCAAAATGCCCTTTTTATTAATTACTAGTTTAGGCTACGGGCGATTCACGTACGAAGTTGTAATTAAAATTTAATAACGTAGAATACAAAAAAAAAAAGATAGAAAAAAAGTTTACTAAGAAATTTAAAAATAGTATATATAGAATAGTCTAAGTGAAACAACTTATTTGATTAAATTGATGAAAATTTTTAAATTACATGATCACAAAAAAAAAAAAAAAGCACAAACAAGGAAATTATTCTGATGAGAAAGTTTAGATTTGAGGTTCAAAAAATCTAAGAGAGAGTAAGAGTAAGAGAGAAACAAAAAAGGAAAAGAAAAAAAGAGAATATTAGTGCAAGTGACTATGGTAGACAAATGGTGCCAAAAGGATAAGGAAAAAAATTAAAGTGGAAAGAAAGAAAGGTAAAATCCCATTCGTAAGAGATATACATTCTCAAATGGAGTTAAAAAATGAAAGAAAAAAGTTAAAATATAAAGAAACAAAATAAAAGATAAAGAATGAGGTTAGAAAGAAATGAAAAAGATTTAAAAAAGAAAAAAAATGTAAAAAATCACTTGTACAATACAATGGTAACAAATAGTGTTAAAAAAAGAATAAAATAAAAAAGATAAAACACGAAAACGGGGGAGTTAACAATAAATAAAGATGTAAGCGGTTTTCAGGATAATCGATTATAGAAAAGAGAAAAAAAGTAGCGCAAGAGAAAGAAAGAAGAAAAAAAAGTTAAAAAAATAGCGAAAGGAAAGGAAAGAAAAGAAAGAAAGGAGAAAAAGAAAACCAAAACCGTGAGTTTTGGACTATCAAAATTGTAAAGTGAGAGGATTTTGTACTCTTTTATATATAGAGAAAATAGAAACTAATAACTTTAATTCTAAAAATATTTTAACTTATTCTAATTTTTTAATTTTTAAATGTTTTAAAGTATTTTTAAATTTTTTGTTAAAAATTATTGGGTGCGTTTGGAATTGTTCCAAAACCTTTTTGTTTTTTGTATGAAAATGAAAATAAAAACGTTTTTATTTTCATTTTGGAATCATTTTTGAAAATACGTTTAGTAGTTTTATTCTGAGATTATTTTCAGTTTAAAAAAAAGAGAGCCCGTTTGGTTGGAGAATTTGTTCTCTGAT